CTTGTCTTTGATCTTGGAAGCAACTTCCTCGCGAAGAGGAAGAGAATGACGAGCGATGAGAACTGAGACCATGGCTGAAGCTGATGTGATGGAAGCAATCTCTAGCGAGTTATATGCGCTGCTTTTCCCTGACAGCGCAGCGTTGTCTAGCGAGTTGTATCCGCTGCTGTATGATAGAATCTCCCATGGGCCTAGGGAATCTGTAGAAAACACAGATTAAAAAATCAGAAAAATCTCAAACTTTAAATCACAATCTCAATTCAACTTCAATAAAAAAATTAATAATCGAATTAAAATGAAAAAGACAACTCTTTTGCAGAACCAAACACTGAACAGAGAAACTATCTTTATCTTCCAAAAACTTGAATAATCAAGTTCTGAGGATGAATACACAGAAACTCCACCAGAAAATAACTATTACTATAAAATCAAACAAAGAAGGGAGAATGAGAGGCATATCTTGAGAGACAGAGAAGTGATCAGCAGTGGCTAGGACGAGCATGATAGTGGTGCTAGCGACTCCGGTGAAGATGGATCTGAGAAGCGATGGTGGTGGTGGTGACAAGCGATGGTGGACGGGAGAGATGGTGATGGTGATGGTGGTGGTGGTGGTGGTGACAAGCGATGGTACCGGCCTTCGCGTATTCTCGAACTCCATATCTTCAATATTCTCTGTCTCCTCTCTCTCTCTCTCTCTCTCTCTCTCTCTCTCTCTCTCTCTCTCTCTCTCTCTCTCTCTCTGTCTCTCTCTCTCTCTTGCTTCTCTGACCCATCTCTCTTCTTCTCAGAGGAACACAAAATCTGTTAATCTCAGAAAGATAATTAAAAAACAAAAAAAATAGTTAATCTCAACCGTTCATTTAATATCACCCAAGGGCGTAAATGGTGATCCATTCCAAACCAATAGAAAAAAGCCGGAATTACAAGGTATTAAGTAAGAACCCTAATTCTAGTCGCCTAGCTCTACTCTCTAAGTCTTAAGTGCCCATCCCCTTTTCTAGGGTTTGGACTCCCCTTATATAGTCGTTGTTAGGTTGGTTCTAGTCGGGTTGAGTAGATAGAAATCTTCCATATTTGGAAATATGGAAGGTTCTCCTTGTCGGAAATATTCCATTTTTTTGGCGAAGGGGGTAGTCCCTAGGACCGGTCTAGGAGTATCTCTCAGCGGGGGCCTGGAGCGTTCCCTAGTGGGGACCCGGAGGTCAGCGTCCTGCCTGAGGTCTGGAGGAAAATGATACCTGAGTATTTTTCCCCAACAGCGGGTAGAACTTCTGATTGGATTGAGGACGATACACCATAGTGTTGGCAGGAGCCGTTTTCTTTTGTGGTGCCCTTCTGATGGGCGTTGCCACAAATTATCCTTTCATTATGGTTGGAGGATTTGTAGCTGGTATCAAGGTTGGTTATGCTATGATGATTACACCGGTTTACATGGCTGAAGTTGCTCCTGCTACTCCTCGTGGTTTTCTCAGCTCTTTCTCTAAGGTATAATAGATCTGACATTTCTAATTTTAGATATAATAAAATACACATTGTAAATGGAAGTTGGTGCTGATATGTTTTTTAGGAAGATATTTATCAACATTAGTATACTTCTGCGGTACGTATTGAATTATTTTTTTCTCCAAGCTTCCCGAGCATCTTCGATGGAGGTTCATGTTAGGTGTCGGAGCAATCCCCTCGGTGTGACTTTCCATTAGAGTGTTGGCGATGCCCGAGTCTCCGAGGTGGCTGCACTCCAGGGTCGTCTTGAGGATGCTTTTAAAATCCTCGACAAAACCTCAAACACCATAGAAGAAGCCATATCTTGGCTCAAGATATAATGTATGTAGCATGTCGTACCGCTTTGCCCCAAAGATAGTTCGGCAGTTCCATATGTTTCAAAATACTTTTGTCTTGTTGAGAAGCGTTCGATTTCTCCTCTCTACCACCCCATTCTGTTGAGGAGTATACAGTGCCGTTAGATGCCTCTGTATTCTGTGTTCTCACAATATAAGTTAAACTCATTGGATGTGAATTCACCACCTTGGTCTGTCCTTAGTATCTTTATTGTAGCTTCGCTCTCTTTTTCAACAATGAACTTGAATTTTTTAAACTTGTCGAATGCTTCCCCGTTTTCTTTCAAGAGCATCGTCCACATATATCTTTTGTGGTCATCGATCAGAACAAAAATGTATTTGTTTTGTGATGGCGTTGATGGCGAGATGGGTCCGCAGAGATCACCATGTATGAGATTAAGTACTGTATCAGCTCTAAATGATGTCGATTGTGGGAATGCATGCCTTGCTTGTTTCCCAAGTATACAAGAAGGACATGCTTCTTTATCGCTTACTACTCTCGGTAAGCCGTATACGAGTTCCTTGCTTGCCATTAACCTAATTTCTTCTCTTCCTGTATGACCCAACCATGCATGCCATGTTGCTGATTCATTACTCACTGATGCCACTAAACACCGATCATCTCTCTCGATGTTGACTTTGTAGAGACGGTTTCTCGAGCGTTTGGCTTTGGCGATGAGTTTCCCATCGCGATCTCTCAAAGTGAGATAGTCATCCTTCATTCGTATATCACATCCACACTCCGTTGACCAAGACTTATTATACTACTCTTTAGGTCTGGTATATAGTAGACATCAGCTAATGTCTTTTTGCTTCCATCTCTTGTGGAGAACAATATTGGTCCTTTACCCTTAATGTCAATACGCGAATCATCTCTGAATCTAACCTTGCCAGTGATGGTCTCGTCTAAGCTCTTAAAGTATCTCATATCACTGGTCATGTGATTGCTCGCCCCATTGTCTGGATACCATACTTTATCATTGTCTTTGCGTGTCTCAAATATCAGAGGATTAACGTGTTTTTCGTTAAGGTATACTACTTCATGAACCATTAGCTCCTCTGCTTCCATAGTATCATTGTCTTTTGTTCCAGTCGCCTCTTGTAGCTTGAAGAGAAGATCGGGACACACTGAGGCAAAGTTTCCCATCTTCACAACGGAAACACATAATCTTGGACATGTCAAAATTGTCCTGGTAACGATCTTGATATCTGTCATTATACCTTCCTCTGCCTCTTCCTCTATTGTAAAACTGGTTTTCACGTCCACGACCTCTGAAGTTACTGTTATATTCACAGTTATTGGTGTTTGAGGTAGGGTGAGTATGTTGAGATTGAGTTTCGTTGCTTGCATACGTCAGCTTGCTCTGAGTTTCTTCCTCTTCTTCGTCTTTCACTCTCGCCTCATAAGCTTTGAACCTTCCAACGATATTCTCAAACTTTGTGGTCTTGAGATTGACAAATTGCTCAATTGTTGCAACAAGTTGAATGCATTTCTTTCGTGGGAGGCAAGACATAAATTTCTTTATAAGCTTATGTTTCTCGATGGATTCTCCTAAAGCGGTTGCTTTTGATGATAGTTCGGTCAGTTTCCCAGCAATATCATCAATGCTGTCTTTATCTTTCATCTTCAATCTCTCGAGATCAGACGCTAGTGTTTGCAATCTTGCTTCTCGAACTAGATCATCTCCCAAATATCGTCCCTTGATCGCATCCCAAACTTCCTTTGCTGTCTCCAAGTTACCTAATTGTAATACAAGCGTCTCAGGTAGTGCCTGAAATATTAGGGCTGTAGCTAGGTCATTCTTCTCACTATCATATGATTCATTCTCCACCAGATCCCATACCTTGTTTATCTTCAACACCAATCTGATCCTTATCGTCCACACCGCATAGTTTGTTTCCGTAAGGACATGACAACTTATCTTTGAAGATCCTTTTCCTTCCTTTGTTTTTGACACAACAATATCTCCCATGTTTGTTGTATAGTCTGTTCGTCCCTAGAAGGTCTGATACCAAATATGGTTTCACAAACTGATCGTAGAATAAGTTTAATAAGAACTTGCTCTCTTATTAATCTCTTGAGAAAATCACTCAAAACTCAAGAACCCTAATACAATCTCCAAACTCTCTCAAAGGTTGCAACAAGCCTGCAACTTCTTATATAGGGTTACAATTTTCTTTTCCTAATAGACTTAACATTATTAAGATATTTCCTAATCTCTATAAATAACCAAACAAGATGATATTAGGATTATTTGCTCCTCACGTTATTTCATGCTTACATCCAACATTTGCGTTGTTCTCTCATACTCCGTGGTGGAAGCTTCTAAATGAAAACTATGGCTGTCAGTTGTCAAAATGGTGGCTTAAACATTGACTACTTGAAAATCTCTACTCTTCTGTGCTTTGGCTTTTTCTCCTTTTTCGTAGTATGTTCGCTTTTAATGACATATACCGTTTCCGTTTAGCGTCAAAGTATTGTCAGTACGTAATTAATTCAAGTTCTTCAGATTTTTTTTCTTTTCAATGATCCAAATATCAATAACTGTCACCTTAAACTTGAAATTCTGAATCCTGATAATGCCAATCGAAGAAGTGAGAACTATATGTCAATGTGCTTTTTATTCGGCGATTTTTTTGTTCTAATATATATGACTTTCTGTTTCAAATTTCATACTCTTGGATTAATTAATAATTGCTATCATTTATTTTAAAACATGGTTTTCGGCTGTTCTTGTTCTGCTTTCATGAATTTGAAAGATCGAGAGTGTGGTGTTAGCAGTTAACAATATTGTTGAATGTTTTTTTTTGTTATCAAAAACACATCAAATAGACAAAAACTACACTCTCTTAACTATTAGTTATTATTTTTTCTTGTTTCTTGGTTTTTTTTTTATTTTGACGACGAACGGCTGATCTATTACATAAGTTTGGGTTGGTCTAGGAAGCCAGACCGGAATAGAACAACCAACATAAAATAACTCTTGATAAAAGATCGAACATATTTTGCTAAAGAGTCAACAACACAATTATGCGTTCTAAGAATATAGAAAATCTTCACTGGTCAGAGGATCTCTTAGTTAAGTAAGAATTCTTTTATATAACACGATAATTAACACACGCAAAGTAGGAAAATGGAGATATCATTAATTAGAAGGTGGATCATCCTCGGGAGATGAGAGAACCTACAACTCCGGCGATAAGGGCCGTTTGATCGCCAAGCACGGCAGAGATAACGAACTGCACGGCCATTCCAGCGATCTCACAGCATTTCTGGACTTTGCCTTCGCTGCTGCTACGGTGGTGGTGCTCAAGCGTATTCTTTAAAGCCAGGCTCTTGCCTTCTATGCTTTTACCACGTTCTCCTTTGTACAGCTCCCCACCAATTCGCCACAACAACATCTCCCTCACGCACGCTACGTGGAGATTGTACTTTTTGCAAGACGACCTGTATTTAGTTCATATGTTTTCTACACTGTTACATCCTTATCAATCGCAGAAATTGTAATTTATATAAACCATATTTTTGTATTTTTATTTAAACTCTTAAATATATTATTTGAAACAATACTATAGTCTCGCGACAAATAAAAAGCTTTAACTTAGAGTGCACGCTATGGAACTTGTATACCAACTACCACACAAATTCATTTCTTTAAGTAAAGGAGAAAGTATTGTGTTTTAAACTTTAAATGACATTTGCTTTAAATCCTTGTTTGAACGCCATCGCTTTAATCTTTCTTTTTCTCTAAACATATATTCGGTGTAAAGACGAAGTCCATGTTCAAGAATCAAACTATCAACGTAATCCAAATTTTAACTCAGATTGCTTTACTAAAAATATTCTTCAGAGATGTTGATTTAGAATATATGCTAACGTTGACTAAAACACCAATGAAAACTCTCACAACAAATACACTTTGGCATGGTATTTTTCTTTACTATCATAATTTGAGTTTTTCGTTGATCTCAACTTAAATATAAAAACACCAAATAATAATAGCTAAACAATTGGTATTATAATTAATAATATAAAAGAAAAAGAATAGAATCAAGAAGAGAAACCTGTAACTCCAGCTACGGCCTTTTCTTCCACATCGATGACAAGATGAGCTAACTTTGCGGTAAAGGAAGAGTTAGGTCTCTCCATCGTCCAAAACCATAGGAAGCATAGCGCAACACGGGTGAAGATCAAACCCTCATGCCTTGCAATGGTACACGAAGCCTGACACGTCCTTCCGGCATGCGTTGCAGTACCGTCTCTCATTCCCTGGCGGCTTGGCCAAAAACTGAAACGTACATATTTTGTAGAACGGATGTATTATGGAGGCGGAAGGTAAGGCCCAATGTGCATGGAGATCGAAATCGCAGATTTGATGATCATTGGAGCAGCGACAGCGAGAGCCAATCCCGACTTTATTGCAGCCATCACACTGGAAGGGCTTCTCCGTGTAGTCGTATCTGAGGTAATGTATTGGGTGGCTAAAATGAGATATATCTGCGTATTTCATTTTTTCTGTTATGTTTATTTTAGAATCTGTTTATATATATATGTTTGTAGGAAATCATAATTTATAGAGGGGAATTTGGAGAAGCTTTAATCTGACTTGAAGCATCAGAAAAGAGAAGAGAGTTATCAAGTGGAATCTTTCAGTTGCTGCAAGTGTAAAAAAAGTCCATAAGGAGAGAATAAGAATGTAAAATATGAAGGGATGCAACTTTTGTCCATAATTGATGAGACTATATTGCAAAATAGTTCTTGAGTTTTCCTAATTTTCTGTTTTAAACCTTTATTTTCTTCCAAGTTAATTCTTGAGTTAAACCTTTATTTTCAAGAGACCGTTTTTTTGAATGGGTCGCGATAAGTTTTTAATTGTGAAAATAGGTTGGTCCAAGTTTTATTTTGCAAAAAAAACATACCTAAAAAAGAGAGACAAAATTCATGACAATTTGGCCTTTTGACCCTATAAACTTGTAAACATAATTCAAAAAAATTACTCTACAACTCCAAAAGAATTAAAGTTAGAGCGTGTGAGATTATTTTTACGTTTTCTTGTAATAACTTGAGTCAACACCACTTTTCAGTCAATATCATTTTTTAAAATCACCGAATTATATCGTTTTGTGTGGTAAAGCTCTTCAAACATTTATGATTCGATCAACAGAGAAAAGTTAAGGTTTTAATCTCTGGAGTTAGTGGGTTAAGCGAATTTAGTGTTGAAAAGGATATTAATAATATGAAACATGACAAGTTAGGAAGAATCTTGGGTGAAGAAAAGCTGCCGAAATCGAAACCGGGGATGGTTTTAAATCTGGGAGAGGTCAAGGTCTTGACCAGCGATGCTATTGTGGCTGTGCTCTTGGAGCTCCTAGAAGTTCACATGCTCTGGAATTAAGCTTCTCAATCACGACATTAAGATCTTGAGACGTCTGTCGTATCCTCTCTTTCGCCGCATCATACAAGCTTCGATCCGTAGCGACCTCCGGTTTGCTGCATCGTCTCCTCCTTCGCATCTTCAACTCTCTCTGTCGTGCTATGTCTTTGTCGTGACAATGTGCGCCCTTCTCGCCGACGTCATGCCTCAGATTGAAAGCTGAACAACATTAATGGCCAAGTTTCTCGTAATCGCATTGTTAGTCTTTATTTGTTTTGTTTCCTTATATTTTGGCATCAATGTCTTAAAACATACAAAATATTTAACTTGCTTTACATTTTTTATCCAAACTTTTAGATTCTAAATTCTAACCCTTTTTAATGAACACATATACACAATAAAAAAATGATTCAAATTCAATATATATATATATATATTTATAAGAAAAATTATAAATTTTAACTAAATTATATGATTCAAATTTAAATTTCTAGGATTAAAATTTCTAAAAGTATAGCTAAAATTCTCTGATTCATATATATATATATATATATTTCTTTTTATCCAAACTTTTAGATTTTAAATACTAACCCTTTTTAATGAACACATATACAGAATAAAAATATGATTCCAATTTAAAATAAATATATCTATATATACATTTATAAGAAAATTTATTAAATTTTAACTAAACTATATGATTCAAATTCAAATTTATATGATTAAAATTTATAAAATTATAACTAAAATTTTCTGATTCATACATATATATACAGATATTTGTGTATATATATATATATATATATATAAGAAAATTTATAACATTACAACTAAAATTATATGACTCAAGTTATAAATAAAGTATTTATACATTTAAGATAATTTTAAATCATTTCATATAATAATTGTGACAATAAAATAAATTAAATTAAATTTAAAACTTTTGTGTTTACTATGTATACTAGAGTGTACAACTACGGAGTACATCTTTGGTGTACAAACTCGGTGTACAATTTTGGTGTACAATCTCGGTGTACACTATGGTTTACAACCCTGGTTTACACTGTGGTGTACACCCCGGTATACATGTTGTATACTCCGGTATACACTAGGGTGTACACCCCGGTATACACTATGGTGTACACCCCGGTATACACTAGGGTGTACACCCCGGTATACACTAAAATGTTTTTTTAAGTTAGATTTTATATTTTTAATATTATTAACTTACATAGTGTATTGTTGGTATTTTGATTTTCTATTAATATACTTAAAACCGTAAAACTATACACTAAACCCTAAACTGTGCCTGAATGAAATATGGGGTTAAATTTTAAAAAATTTAGCAAATTGTAGAGATAAAGTTTGGGATTTAAAAAAAAAACTTTGCAAATTGTACATACACTCTAAATCATATACATTTATTTTAAACATAACAAAGTAGTGTACACTGGAACATGTACAATTAGTACACTAGAAAGGGTACACCGAGAAGTGTACACTAGAAAGTGTTACTAGGAAGTGTACACCAGAAATGATACTCTTGTTTATACTCAAGTGTATTCTGGGAAGTGTACATCGGAAGTGTATCTCGGAAAGTGTACACTCTAGTATATATTCTGGATGTATACTCTGTGTACACGTGGACATACACCAGGAAATACACACAATATACATGTGGATGTACACCATGAAGTACACCAGGTGTACACCAATATGTATACCCGGTGTACACCAGGATGTACACCAGGATGTACACCTATGACAACGAGTATACACTTGTGAGTACAACGAGTATACATCCGTTATTATAATAGCTTCTTGTAATCCAAGAAAGTTAAACATACGGTACTACTTAAACGAACTTTTTGCTGATGGACAAAGAAAAAAAAGGCTTAATTTCAAAAATAACTTAACATTGAATGTTTATTCAACATAATATTTTATTCAATAACATTAAATCCTTTTAATTCACATGAGTCCATGAGAGAGTTCAGAAACATGAGATAAGCTAAAATGAACATAATCGTTACAATACATCCATGCGGTGTATACTGAGGTGCGCATCAGATTATAACCGAGGTGTACGCTCGGGAAAAGACAATGAGAAACAAAAAAAAAATAAATCTTTTTTTAATTTTAGAAGAATTGTACATAAAACAGCAGTTTATGTATTTTTTAAAATAAAAATCAACGTTTATTCCAATAGTGTACATAGAGTGTACATCTGGTTATATGCACAACTACACTAAGGTGTATACTATAGGTGTGCATAAAGGTGTACATTGTATTTGTTGGTGTCAAAATCGGTCACGACGGACTCAATGGCTAAAAGTCTCCGTAAAAGTAAAAAAAAAAGTCGTTTTATAAAACTCGAGAAGTCGTTTTATAAAACTCGAGAAATCGTTTTATAAAACTCGAGAAATCGTTTTATAAAACTCGAGAAGTCGTTTTATAAAACTTGAGAAGTCGTTTTATAAAACTCGAGAAATCATTTTATAAGGTTAAAAGAAGTTTCTAAACAAAGGAAATCCGCGGAAAACTTGGAAATCGTTATCTCGGAAGAACGAAACAAACGCCGATTACACGATCGCCCGAGTTAATCACAAAACCGCGAAAACCGAAACCACCGTAAAACGCGAGCTAGTTCGGCCGAACTAGCTCGCCGTACGGCGAGCTAGTCCCGTCACGACTAGCTCGCCGAATGGATAGCTAGTCCCATCCCGACTAGCTCGCCGTACGGCGAGCTAGAAGCTTCTCGGGTAGCTCGCCGTACGGCGAGATGAACCGGTCCAGTTCGGCTCAATATACGTCGAGCCTCGATCTCCCACGTCCCGATTCAAGGCTTACATCCTTCGACACGATCATGTCCCGAGCCACGGTCGAAATGTCTCCCGTTTCGTCTCAATCTATCTTACCGTTCGAGTTTTACGATAAAAACCGTAAAACTTTTTTTTCTCGAAAAGAACTCAAGGAAATCGTATAAAACGGCAACGGTCAAAGGAAACACCGAAAATTGCCTAAACTATACGATGTATTCGAGATTTTTCATAAAAATCATAAAAACGCGTTTTTAATGAAAAACGTCGAGTGAATCGTTAAAACGGCAAGGATTAACTGAAAAACGAACATAGCTAAACTTTACGATTAACTCGGGGAATTTACTAAAAATGGCATCGAATCAGAAAACGATCTCGTATAAACTCGCAAAACAGATTTATTGCAAAACGGCTCAGAAGGTCCTAAAACGCGATAAAAAGCCCATCTCGCGATCTTAACGAAATCTAGCCGGAAGATACGATAACGTTTTGACGATTTACCCGCAGAAGGAAGATAAAAGTCAAGTTTGAAGATAAATAGAAGATTTCCGCGGGAAAAAAGAAAAGATAAACATAAAAGAAAGATTCTCGATAAACTCAAATATGGGCGAAATAGAAGGACTAAACCGCCAAGAAGGGAGTATATAAGCAAGAGGCATAGGGCAGAAGCAGGGGACGAATTTCAAAGCTCTCATCTGACACTTTTACAACTTTTCTAGACTTAGAATTTTCCGCACTTAGAAACTTAGGCTTTTTTCTCGACATGTTTGGTTTCTATGACTGGCGCTCAATTACTAGAAAAACTCGCCCAGGCAGTTCGATCACTGGTCCAGCTCTATCAACTTAGGCAGCCATTCATAAGGTTCAGTCCGAAATCAATCAAACCCTTTTTCTTGTCATTTTCCGTCTTTTGTTATCGAGCTGAGACTCGACTAGGTTTAAGGTTTTGATGTTGATAATTCGCTGATGGCCCTGCGGCCAATGATTTTGTAAACCCTTATAATGATCTAACGCTCTTACGCGAAATCGGAACAAGATCTACTTTTTCTATAAATTCGTTTTATTACGTTTTTCATATTTTTCCGCATTTATTCGGTTACTTGTCGTTGGCTTTCGCAGAGTTCCGGTTCCTCTGGAAAATTAGGGTTTTCCAAAGTTTCCTTATTTTACGGAAATCGACAGTAGGTGTATTTCGGTTCCCACAGTTTGGCGCTAGATGGAGGGGGGGGGTCGGATTACTCTTACTCATAGCCGCAAAACGCTTGATCAAAACGTTGTCTGGATATATGAAAGACAAAGTCGCAACTCACCAAAACG